CTGAATTTCTGAATTTCTGAATTTTTGAATTTTTGAATTTTTGAATTTTTGAATTTTTGAATTTCTGAATTTCTGAATATCTGAATTTCTGAATTTCTGAATTTTTGAATTTCTGAATTTCTGAATTTCTGAATTTTTGAATTTTTGAATTTTTGAATTTTTGAATTTTTGAATTTCTGAATTTCTGAATTTCTGAATTTCTAAATTTCTAAATTCCTGAATTTCTGAATTTCTGAATTGCTGAATATCTGAATTTCTGAATTTCTGAATTTCTAAATTTCTAAATTTCTGAATTTCTGAATTTCTGAGATTCTGAATTTCTAAATTTCTGAATTTCTGAATTTCTAAATTTCTGAATTTCTGAATTTCGGAATTTCTAAATTACTGAATTTCTAAATTTCTGAATTTCTAAATTTCTGAATTTCTGAATTTCTGAATTTCTGAATTTCTGAATTTCTGAATTTCTGAATTTCTGAATTTCTGAATTTCTGAATTTCTGAATTTCTGAATTTCTGAATTTCTGAATTTCTGAATTTCTGAATTTCTGAATTTCTGAATTTCTGAATTTCTGAATTTCTGAAATTTTGAATTTCTGAATTTCTCAAGTTCTGAATTTCTGAATTTCTGAATTTCTCAAGTTCTGAATTTCTGAATTTCTGAATTTCTGAATTTCTGAATTTTCGAAAAAGTATTTTCCTTGATTTCTGATTTTCCCAAAATGAGAAAAATAGCTGTTTATTTTTAATTCTCAAAAATTCTCGCGTCGATGCACCATGTTTTGTTTCGAAGCATGGAAAATTGATGGTTCTTCTCATGAACCATCAATTGGGGAGTATTGGATTGGATGGATGGGCCACGAAAATAAATGGGATGAGATGGGGGCATTTATTTATAAATGTCAAGTGTCAATTTAGATTTGTTCTTGGGAACAAGAAAAATCGGGGAATTTTTGTTGGGATGAAAATGGGAACCAAAAGATGTATAGATAGGGATGAGGACGTAAAAAGCAGTTTTCTTTGTTTTGGGTCTCTTTGAATTTTGAAAAAAAAAGGTTTTTAGAAACCAATCAACGAAAAAACCAAGTTTCTAGAAGCCGAGATACAGCTTTTCAAAGTTGAGGTGAGAGACGCAGACGACGAGACACTCTAGTAGTCTGCGTCTCTGACTTCCAATTCTTAAATTTTAACTATTGCAGAAAATAGAGTTCGTGTGATAAAATTTAGTTGAAAAACAAAGTTTGTAGCTCATCTAGAAGCCGAGATACAGCTCTTCAAAGTAAGGGTAAGAGACGCAGAGTATCTCGTCGTCTGCGCTCCCTTTAAAGCGCTGTACCTCGGCTCCCAGATAAGCTAGAAGCATGCAATTTTGACTATTTTGTGTCGTTTTTGACACATTTTCAGTTGATTTTTGATTTTCCAAAACTTTAAGGCAAACATTTTTTGGATCCACACATTTTCCAAGTAGAGCCCCTTCAAACCCCCCCCCCCCTGCAAATTCAGAAATCCTAACATTGCATAACACCTGATCCCCTAAAAGAGGCTCAATATGTGTAGATAGTTTTTGAACCAGAAAGAAGATCAAGTTTTAGGAGGAGAGACGCAGACAGTTAGAGTGTCTCGTTGCATGCGTAAAACCGTAGTACTCTTGGAAATGGAATAAATCTCGAAAAATTGTTCTTAATGGTCCAAAAAGCATGATTCTAGCTTATCTGGGAGGCGAGATACAGCGCTTTGGAGTTTTTAAGAGACGCAGACAACGAGACACTCTGCGTCTCTAACCTCAACTTTGAAGACCTGTATCTCGGCTCCCAGATGAGCTAGAAACTTGAAACTTGGACTATTTTGTGTAGTTTTTCATAATTTCTGTTTAACACAAAAAAAAATTAAATAATCTAAAACTTGTCTCTCTCTCTCTCTCTCTCTCTCTCTCTCTCTCTCTCTCTCTCTCATACTCTCTAGTCGTCTAAACATCAAATCGCTATATTTCGGCTTCTAGAACAGCTAGAAATTGGGTTTTTTGGCTGGAAACGTTTTTGTAATATAGACTTATTGAAAATCCGTTAGAAATTTAGGAAAAATTTGAGAGTTTAGAAGATTTTACCTCGAAAATCTTTTTAAAAAATCTTTTTAAAAACCTGAAAATCCTCAAAAACGATCTAGAAATCTCCTCAAATGTGTCTCAGAAGCTACAAAAACGGAACCTTTGCGTTTCACATTTCCTCTTTGGGTCATCCGAGAAGCTCCTCTTCTTTGCCTTTTTTCTTTCTTCTGCTCCTTAACATAATTTCGCGTGTCGCGTCAATTTCCTAACTTCTCCTCCACCCCGTGTACGCGGAGACAATATGATTTGGGGTGGCACACTCACTCTGTTTCTCTGCGTCTCTCTTATCCCCACACTCTCTCTCCTCCGTGCCATTTTTGACTTCTTCTCACATGGTTCTCCTTTCCCCGACTACTTCATATAGGAAAATTCCGAGTGGATCATCTTACTCCTCTGATCCTAAGCTTCTTCGAGAGCTCCGAAGAGCTCTAAAAGCCCCAAAAATCCCACAAAACTTGCTCCAAGCTTTCTAATATTGCTCTAAAATGTTCCATCACGATGGAAGTTCTAGTCGCAGCTCGCGGAGCACCTCACCCACATGGCCTGGATATTCCTATACTCAATTTTTAGAACTTTTCATTTCTAATGTAAGTTTCTTTTGTTCTGGACATAGAGACCTTTTAAAAATTTGCACACTTGTGAAAAACCAAGTTTCTAGCTCATCTGAGAGCTGAGATACGGGCATTTGAAGTTTGGAAGAGACGCAGACAGTTAGAGTGCCTCGTTGTCTGTCTCTGAAACTTCAAATTGCTGTTACTCGGCTTCTAGAAAAGCTAGAAGGTTGGGTTTAAGACCAAATTGAATATAAAACAGTGTATAAAATGGGACATTTGAAATAAATTTTTGAAAATTGAAATAAAAAATGATTCAAATAAATTTTTGAAAATTGAAATAAAAAATGATTCAAATAAATTTTGAAAATTGGAAATTATAATTTCCGATTGTACGAATTTCAAAAATTTTGAATTTCTGAATTTTCGAAATTTTAAGATTCTGAAAATCCGAAATTCCGAAGTTCCGAATTTCACAATTTTCTGAAAATTTCAATTCCAAATTTCACGAAATCAACCAAAAAACAAAAAAGGCGTTCTTTCCTCTCAATTCTTAGAATCTTAGAATCTGAGAAAAAAAAATGGAAAAGAATAAGAGAAAACAACAAAACGAAAAAAAGTTACATGAATTTTCAATTACTATATATAAACAAAAAAAAGTAGAAATTAGGTGAAAATGATTCAGAAATTGAAGAAGAAATGGAAAATTATTAAGTGGCCTAGGTTTTTCTAGAGATGGCCTAACTTTTCGGCTGGCCTAGAAACCCCTAACAGATGGCCTAACTTTCCCTCAAGTTCTCTAAATTTTTTTTTCTGTTGACCTAGATTTTTCAGAGGCTGGCCAAACTTTGGTGGCCTAGAAATCTAAGCAGATGCCCTAATTTTCCATGGTCTCTTTTTTTTCTGCTGGCCTAGAAACCCAAATAGGTGGCCTAACTTTCAATCAAGCTCATAAATCCTAATTATTGTTTGGTTGATGACTTCCGAAGGCTTGTTTTCATTTTTCTAATGGATTTCTCTCTCTCTCTCTCTCTCTCTCTCTCTCTCTCTCTCTCTCTCTCTCTCTCTCTCAAATTGAATGAATTAGAAGAAAAACGAAATTAGATTTAATTGAATTTCAAAGAGCCCCCTTGTCCCCCAAAAAAGCCCAAAAAGCACATTTAATGATGATGAATGGGGTTTTGTTGGGGCGGAAAAATGAAGTCATTTGGAATTAGAAAAAAAGGATTACGGTAGTTGTTGTTTTATTTTGAAAAAAACAACAAGAAAAACAACTATTTGAGATGGATGAGGTAATTTTGCATACTGTAGCTTTTCAGATTTTCCTATTTTTTAGAAACCTTATTTTTATGATTTTTTTTCTAGAACTCTTCGACATTTTGGAATTTCCAAAAAATCCGAAATTTTGAAAATCGTGGAATTTCAGAAATTCGGAAAAACCCGAAAATCCGAAATCCAAAAAATTCTGAATTTTCGAAAATCTCAATCTCAAAATTTTAAAATTTCTAATTTCTAGAATTCCAGAATTTTCAATAGTTTAAACCTTGAAATTCTGAAATTCAAGTAATCCTAAAAATCCAAAAAAACCGAAAAAAACTCAAGAATTCCTAGAATTCCAAAATCAAGATTTCAAATATTTCAGAAGTTTGAAAATTCGTAATTTCAAAATCTCAGAATCTCAAAATCTAGATATTTCAGAATCTTGGAATTTCAGAATCTCAGAATCTATATATTTCAGAATCTTCAAAAATCCGGAATCTCAGAATCTCATAAATTTTTGAATAATCAGAATCTTCGGATGTCATTTTGTCTGAAAATTGCAGTCTACTTGACATCTCAAAATCTCAAAGTGCTCTTTCTCTAAATCTCTCCACTCTCTCAATTTCTCTTGAAAACATCAAGATTCCAAAAAATGCCAAAAAAGAGAGAGAGAGAGAGTGAAAGTTTGGTGATGTACTGCTCTGACCCCTTCCTCCAAAACCCATTGACACTTGGGATAGGGTGTCAAAAGAAGACTCTTTCTTTTTTTCTCTGCGTCTCTCTCACTCTCTCCTCCTCCCTTTCTGGTATTTTTCTTCTTATTCTTCTTCGTAAAATTCGGCTCAAAAGAAGAAGAATCCACCCCGACGTCTTCTAGAATAAGAAAAACCGGACAATTCGATTATCTCCTTTTCCTTCTCCACGTCTTCTTTTCTCTTTATTCCCGGCTCCGGTTTTTTTCACTGTGACACATATCATCATCATCATCAACACCCAACACCCCCAACTGACACTTTTTACTATTTTTTTGGAGCAAATTTTCGAAAAATGAGCAATTGTGCTCACTGTCAGAAAGCAGCTCAAAATTCCATGGCTCCGCCGAAGCATCAAACGGTGCTTCGCGTGGACGCCGAGTCTGGATACTTTGAGTTTGCTGGGAGTACGGTAAGTGGGAAGATTACTGTAACTGGGAAATCATGTAACAGGGGAGTACTGTAGATGTTACCCGGCTATGTATTACTATTGTTTTTAGGGGGATACTGTAGTCGTTAGGACTGCTGTAACACTTTTTCTTCTTCCGGTCGCTTATGTGTAACTGGAAGGATTACGGTAACGTGGCAATTTTTTCGGGTGACGTACCATTAGCATTACTGTAATTATGTGTAACTGAAGGATTACTGTACTCTGGACCATGAACGGATTACTGTAATTAAAATCACATTTTTCAACTTTGTTTATCTAGAGGAGTACTGTATCTTGGGAAATAAGAGGGTATGGTACAAGTGAGATTAGTGTAGCCTGGAGATTACTGTACATTTTGCTGTCCCAATGAAAAGATTACTAAGATTACTGTGAGTAGATACTTTTTCATGTTGCTAGTGGTACGGTAGACTACTGTATCCTGGGCAACGTTAAAAATGGTATACTGTATTATTTTTGCAATTTTTGAAAAAATGTTTTTTTTTGGATTCCCGAATTTTTAGTGTTTTCGGAAATTTGGATTTTTTCGAAAGTCTGAAATTCTGAAACTGCGAATTTTCAAAAGTTTAGTGGAGATTCTATGATTCCGAAAATTCGAAAATTGCGAATTTTCGAATTTTCAAAAAATTACAATTTTCGGATTTCCTAAGAAATAAGAGAATTTCAAGATTACAAAACTCTGAAAACCTGAAACTCGAGAATTCAGAAATTCAGAAACTCTGAAATCCAAAATTTTTGAAGATCTAAATTTTAATTCTATTAGACTGTAACTACGCTCTATTGGACTATTAAACCCTGCTTATCCAGCCTTCACCTATCTGATCTATCCTACATATATGATTTCCAAAATAAACTACAGTAACCCAATAAACCTGCACATCTAACTAATTCCAGATGGAAGGCGGCTCCGGATGGACCGAATCACTGGAAAAGGATTTCGACAAGGCGTTCGTTTCCCTGGATTTGCTTCTTGGAGAAATCGATTCAGATCAGGTAAGTGGCATTTATTGATTTCATTGATTTTTATCGATTTCTTGCAGTTTCGTTATTTTCCCTCTGTAGTTGCTCTTTGTTAGAATTCTCTAGAACCCGAAAATCGATTATCGATTTATTGATTTTCACTGATTTGTCTTGAAATCCCCCTTCTAGAAACGCCTAAGTTCACCTATCCCAACTTCTATTCCTAACCTATCCAGGTTGAGATCACCTACGAAGGCCGACAAAAAATGACGTCGCTGAGCGCGTGTTTCGCCCAAATGATGCACAAATGTCAGTTTATGATGCACACAATCAGTAAACAGGAAAAGGTAAAAGATAATAAAGAGAAAATGGAGTGAAACTTTAAAAAGTTGAAGTTTCTAGCTCATCTAGAAGCTGAGATACAGACCTTCAAAGTTTAGGAGAGAGACGCAGAGTGTCTCGTGCCTGCGTCTTCAACTTAAACTTCAAAGGTCGGTAGCTCGGCTCCCAGACCAGCTAGAAACTTGATTTTTCAAAGAAAAATGCTGCGACAATATTGCAAATAGCGTTCCAAATTTTGAATCTTTAGCTCATCGGGCAACCGAGATACAGCTCTTTGAAGTTTTGAAGAGACTCAGACAATTAGAGTGTTCTCGTTGTCTGCGTCTCAGACCGAAACTTTATATGTTTATATCTCGGCTCCCAGATGAGCTAAAAAGCTTAAATTTTGACAGAAATTATTGAAATTTGATGCTTTATGAAGTTTTTCAAAAACATAAAAATATTCTATATTTTGGAATTTTTAGATTTTCAAAAAAAAATTGGTTTTTCTTTTCAAATTCAATGAAAAATTAGTAATCTTTTCAAATTCAAATAATTCTGCAAAATTTGGATCGATCTCGCTATAAGCCGAGATACAGCCACTTAAAGATTTGGAGACTAGAGACGCAGACGACGAGACACTCTAACTGTCTGCGTCTCTCCTAAACTTCAAATCGCTGTATCTCGGCTCCCAGATTAACTAGCAATCTCAAACTTTGACAGAGCTGTAGCATTTTTATTTCTTTACAAATGAAAAATTTTAATTTCAAGAATATAGAGAATGCGATTTTCTGAAAAAAATATATAAAAAATTAAAAAGCTCCAAAATCAAGAAATTTGACACCAAACATGATTTAGAACCGTCGAACTTTTATCACTCTAGCGTATCTAGAAGCCGAGATACAGTCGTTTGAAGTTTTAGAAGAGATGCAGACAGTTAGACACTTCAGTTGTCTGCGCTCTCTCTCTCTTTCCCACGCTCTCTCGCCCTAAAACTTCAAATGACCGTACCTCAGTTCACAGACATGCTACAATCTTGATTCTTTGACCGAACCATTTGGAAAACTTTTAATTTTCAAAAATCCCTAACTTCCAGGAAATGTCAGCAATGCGAAACGAAGTCGTGGAGGCTCGAGCATCTCGACAAAGCATGGAAAAAGAAGTTGAGCAATTGATGATCCAGGTGCATTCCCTACAGTGTCAATTGCACTCAAAAACCGCGCCTCATGAGTCAGATATGATTAAAAAGAAATTGGTAAGAATATGGTGGCCTAACTTTCTAGCCTAATGGCCTAACTTTCCCAGGAAACTCAACTTTCCACATTTCGCTCGGAGCTTACGCAAGGGTTGAGCACGGTTTGTGAGCTTGAGATTGCTAGAAAAGATGCGGAGAGATCCAAAAAAACGATTCAAGCTTTGGAAACTGAAGTTTTTGGAGCAAGACTTGCCGCGAAGTATTTGGACAAAGAGCTCGCGGGACGGATACAACAGATTCAGTTATTGGGGCGGAATATGCGAGGTGTGGAGCACGACAGACTTTGGAATCAACTGGAAGCCGAGATTCATTTGCACAGGCATAAGACAGTGATCCGAGCGTGCAGGTCAGGCAACAAAATTTTTTCGGAAATTTCGGCAACTTTCGGCAATTTTCGGCAACAAAAGTTTTGCGTCTTTTTTTAGTAAAATCGATACGTAACTCACCTGAAAATGCTTCTATTAGGCTCAGAACTACAGAAAATGTGTTTCATAAGTTCCTTAAAAAAGTAGTTACAAAAATTGGCAACTCAAGACCACATTTTTTATGCAAACTATTTCTCTTTAGCAAAATGGCATAAAAACCAGCTTTCTAGCTCAACTGGAAGCCGAGATACACTCTTTAAAAATTTATGGGGGGATAGACTGCGGGCAAGGAAGAGAGCGCAGGCAACAAGAAACTGTAACTGTCTGCGTCTTTCCTGAAGTTTGAGTCGCTGTAGCTCGGCTCCGGGATGAGCTAGAAAAGTGGTGTTTGGACTCAAATCCGTTATTTTCTATGCTTTATTTCATTGAATTATAATTTTCAAAAATTTCCAAAAAAATTCAATTCCCTATATTTTTGGGAATTTTTGATATAGTACAAAATATGAAAATACATTCAAAACCAATAAAATCTGTAAAATTTTGAGCTTTCTAGCTCAATTGAGCGCCGAGATACGGCCAATTGAAGTTTTGGAGAGACGCAGATAGTTGGAGTGTCTAGCTGTCTGCGCCCTCCTCCTCCTACACACTCACTCGTCTTCCAACTTCAAATTCTTGTATTTCAGCTTCCAAATGAGCTAGAAACGTGGTTCTTCGCTCAAATTTTGTCGGAAAATGTTGCGTTTTTGAGATTTTTGAGAATCCAAAAACATAAAATTTTCTCAGAATCCAACAGAAATTTTTAAAAAATGTTCAGTTTTTTTTGCATTCCAGAACTTTCACATTCCCACTAAATCCACTTCTTTCGTCTTCCTCTTTTACTAATTCCAAAAACTCCGAAAAAAATTCTCCCCAATTTTACAGAGGACGGGGTAACACCAAGGGATTAGCGGCGCCACTTCGTCACAGCTTCAAGAGTCTTCGAAAACGAAATGGAGTGGGAAAGAGTCGAAAAGTGGTGCTCTCGAAACATCCGCACGAGGGTTTGGGCATCTCAATTACGGTAGGTGGTGTTTGCTGGAGGGACCAAACTTTTTTTGAACTCAGAAAATAGCGAAAAGTCAAAAAAAGAAAAAAAACTTCGAAATGTTTATAATTCCTTTGAAAAATTCAAAAACCTATCAGAAATAGAGATGTTCTATGAAAGTTTGACCCTTCTAGCTCATCTGGGAGCCGAGATACATCCCTTCAAAGTTTTGAAGAGACGCAGACAAAGAGAGTATCTCGTCGTCTGCGTCTCTAGCCTCCGTATTTTCAAATCGCTGTTTCTCGACTTCCAGATGAGTTAGAAAGCTCAAACTTTGACAGAATTTATGAATTTAAAATAAATTATTTTATTGGAATTTGAAATTTCAGAGATTTTTTGATTTTTGAGAATTTTTCTTTTTGGAAATTTCATGTTTCATTCTTTTGAAATCAAGCATCAAAATGTGTTTTTAAAAATCTTTTTTCGAAGAAAAAATATACATTTCTGTCGAAGTTTGAGCTTTCTATCTTATCTAGAAGCCGAGATATCGACCTTTGAAGTTTGGGTGAGAGACGCAGACGACGAGACACTCTGCGTATCTCACCCAAACTTTGAAGAGTATCTCGGCTCCCAGATGAGCTAGAAAGGGTGGTTCTTTGGCCATATAACGTCTAGACAAACCTATTTTTATTGCCTAGGAAAAAATATGAAAATTCAAATATTTCGAAAATTTTAAAAGTTTGAAAATTACGAAATTTCCAATTCTTCCAAACTTTTAAAAAACATCAAAAATCCATCAAAAAACAATATGGTCCATGAAAGTTTGAGTTTTCTAGCTCATCTGGGAGCTGAGATACAGCGCTCTGAAGATTTGGAGGTGAGAGACGCAGAGTATCTAGTCGTCTGCATCTCTAGCCTCCAGAACTTCAAATAGCTGTACCTCGGACTCTAGATGAGCTAGGAACTTGGTTTTTTCACTACGCGGATGCGATAATTCTGTATCTTCGAAATGATAACATTCCAGGGCGGCTCCGAACACGCACTTCCCATTGTGATATCTGAAATTCAGCCGGGACAACCGGCTGATCGATGTGGACAAGTTTTCGTTGGGGATGCTATATTGTCAGTGAATGGTTATGATTTGAGGACCGTCAAACATCAGGAGGCAGTTGATATTTTGAGTGGACAGGTAAAAAATAGGGAAGATGCACGAGAAAAGCGCCAAGACACCAATAATGAACCAATGCACCGAAATCTCGTCAATGCACAAAAAAAAGTGCCAACGCACTAGAATGGCGTCAACGCACCAAAAATGCGCACAAGGCACCGAAAAAAATGCGTCAACAAAGTTGATTTTTCAGGTGCAGCAGGGAGATTTAGACCTGGAATTGGTGTTCGTTTGCCCTGACGAGGATAGTGATGATGATGGTACAGTAACCATCGAACACAGTGATGGATCCATGTGAGTTTGGAATTTTTGAATCACAAAAAGTTCTGAATTCCTGAATTTCTGAATTCCTGAATTTCTGAATTTCTGAATTTCTGAATTTCTGAATTTCTGAATTTCCGAATTTCTGAATTTCTGAATTTCTGAATTTCTGAACTTTTGAATTTCTGAATTTCTGAATTTCTGAGAATTC